AAGTTTTTTATCAATCATAACAAACTTCATTCGCTATTTTCGTTATAAAATTATACGCATCCATTTTATTTCAGACACTTTCCAATTATATTTAGTTCTTCGTCAGTCATCAGTTTCAGTATACACGATAAAATCATATCCTAACGCAAAATACTTCTTTGGTAGCTTAACAGACATACACTATGGAAAAATGGATTGCGATTCTGTTTCATGTATCTTTTCAATTGATAAATCGTCCTATGCATGTATCTATCTATGTATCTATCTATTCGAATTGTGTACTGAATATTAATATCAAGTAAGTGAAATTCTGATCGGACAGTGAGAAGACGTGAATGTGATGTTTTTGGGCGACATACATATTTCTAACAATCTGGTCACACATACATGCTTGTCAAGGAATTTGATATGAAGATTAATAAAAGGTCAACTAAGCAAAAGCTCAAATAGACATAAGGGTGATAATTGTAAATAAATGAAAAAGGAAATAGCATTACGGGTTTGTGAAGATTGTTAAGTTACACATTGTGAAACCATGATTCGACCAATGTTATACCATCATTAGAAACCGGAAAGCACTGAAAGACGGCCGGACTCATCAGCAATGCGCATCCACGACTCCTGAACCCCGCATGATTCGAACCCAGGACCTTGGATATTGTGCGCGAACGACTAACCTCTTGACCACTGAGCCGGTATCATGCGGTGTTAATGTCTAACTTGATCAATTCACTGAGTTGCGCAACCGCATACACAGTCTTCGGTAGTTACTGTATACACCCTAATAGGTTGAACTTCAATGGTCACAACTTCCCACTAGAACTCGGAGAAGATTCCTCACGAAGCTAGTCACTCGTGAGCACAGGTAATGGCATTGTTAAGTTACATATTTTGAAACCATGAATCGATCAATGTTAGAGAGAAAATTAACGTAATATGAAAAGTAATATAAGAGTAGGAAAATTGTCACATTACCCCAGGCTTAAACATTAACAGGATAAATTCAAGGTTATGACAAATTGTTTCTGTACTTATAAGGGGGGTTTTAATTCACGAATAATTAAGGCTTCCATAAACCCCAAAACTCGTCCTTCAATATTTCTATACAATGTTTTGAAGGCTATCTTGATGTCAATCTTATGCCTTGTCTCAATGTGTTTTATGATCGATGAACATGATTTTCTATTTCCCACGTTTATCGACTCGTCTGACCATAACTGATTTTGAAGCCACTTAGCTATCATATTCATATTATATTGTAAACTGAATTATTAGGGTGTTCATAATTATCAAAAGCAATTAATGTGTCATCCGCATACTTGATGATCAGTTCTGTTTTATTAATCAATGCTCTCTTGATTATTTCTAAAAGAACTGACAAGTTATTCTGTCAGTCACCTATTATTCTTACGTTAGTCAAACTAATCTATTTTAGTATGAGGGCTTTTTGCAGATTGTTGAATTTGATGACAAACCATGAATCAATCAATATCAGAGCATCATTAAATACCTGTATTCATTATTCATCCTTGTACAGAACTTCTTAACTCTCATCTTATACGATTCAACGGGCGGGACTCGAACCCAGCACCTATGGTAGATACGATCTCAATTAACCCATAACGAATATAATAATAATAATTAGAAGAAAAAAAATGCTTTACTTTTACATATTTATATATAAATGTATTTATAGTATCCATTATAAAAATAAATATTAAAACAAATGTATACTACTAACAGAAATGATAATAATAGTAGTATATGTATATATATAAAAAAAGTTCTCTTAAAAAAGCCACCAAAGTTTTGTTTCAATTAAATAATATCTAAGCTAAATAAATAAACTAAAAAAATGAATGACATAAACGAGAAAATTGAATCTTGAAACCCAAATAAATAATAATTATTTTGTTTTGTTTTATTCTTTCAAAATAGTTCAATTGAGGTTTAAAAACGGTGTCAGTGTCAAAATAGTTCGATCATTTGACTTAATTAAAAATTAAATAATACTAATAATAAATACAAAATAAAATAGAATAAGAATAAGAAACTGGTCATTTGCCAAATAGATAGTGAGTGATTGAGTGAGTGATCTAGAAAAATAACAGAATCCATTGTTTGAGTGAATTTCTTAATTAAAGGCGCAATAAACACTGATTCGATGTGTCAATTAGCATTAAATGAATTCACTGATGACTGACTGTGTGTGTGTGCGTGTGTGTGATTCATTCTCAACATTTTTGTGTTTTCCCAATCCGCTGACGTTTATATGGATTCGGTAAATTAGGATGTGAATTAGTAAAATGTCTACCTAAATCCCAACTCCATTTATAACTTGTTGCACAGACACAACAAATAAATGGTCGTGAATTAGCATGTACCATAACATGTTTTTGTAATTCTGTTGGCCATTTTGCTGTATAATTACATTTTGGACAAGGATAACTTTTGTTTGAAGGATTATTGACTGCTTGTTGGTGTTGGTGTTCTTGGTGAGCAGATTGATCTACTGGTTTATTGATTGGATGGGTTGATTGACTATTGTGATTATTTTCTTCACAAGTTACTATTGATGTTGATGTTGCAGTTGAGGTTGTTGGAATAAAATTATTCTCATTCATACCAGTAGTAGTGGAAGTAGTAGTAGTATTGGTAGATGTTAGAGAATTATTGCTTTGTAATTGTTTTTCAGATATTAAAAGGTCAAGTTGAGCCTTTGAATAAAAAATATAAAAAAATTTAACAGATAATGAAAAAACACACAAAAAAACTAGTGAGATTATGTAGTTAGCTAAAATGAAATGCATAGAATGGAGATGAACCTATGAATTACGATAAATTACTTTATTAATAGGAAATTAACAAGCAGAACTTAGTTAACTGTTGTTGTAATATTCATTAAAACTTTTATATTTTCACCTAATGATAAACATCAAAATCTTTTAAGGATTGAACAAATAAAATTAAACAAATGACCGTTAATTTTCGAAACTAATATCCTATGATTTGGTACACAAGTTGGCACTAGTTTTATCATAGACCTAGTCTAATTCTTTCTATTTATAGTTTAGCTACTTATAAACATTTAAGTAGCCAGAATTTTAAATTAAAATTTAAACATCTTTACTCACTTGAAATAATAATTTTGATGTTTTACTATTCGAATATTGAGCAAAATTACATTCAGATTCTAGAAGACGTCCATGTATCATTGAATAATGCATATTAAGTTGATTCATTCCTTCAAACATTAATCCACATGCTGCACATATTGTTGTACCACGCCAACCAACACGACGTCTTCTACAAATCGATCGAGTATTTGCATTACAAATATCACCATTTTCTTTAACATCATCATCAACATCATTAGCAACATCATCACCACTAGTCAAATTCTTATATACATTGTTATTATTATTATTCAAACCAATTTTCGGTTTTCTATTCATTTTACGTTGTGTATGTGTAATAATTTTATTACGTGAATAATATAAACGATTCGTTTGACGTGAATATTTTCTCCATTTCATTTTTTCGTCTTTTTGTTTTTCTCGTGTCATTTCTGTTGTTTCTACATCATCTGCAAGTTGTTTATTACGCCATACAGGTGTGGATGTTAAAAATTCTTGATCAATAAGACTAGATTGTTGTATTGTCGGCGATGGTGTACGTATTGTGGAATACATTGAACTACCTTGAATATTACTACTATTATTATTGTTGTTAGTAGTATTAGTTGTAGCAGCAAAATTATTATTATTATTACAATCAATTTTATAATTTACATTATTATAATTCAGGATAAAATATTGATTTAAACTATCTGGTATGATCCTCATATCGATTGATTTGATTTGATTTTTATGATTATTATTAGTAAATAAATTCATATTCATTTTATTAGTTAAATCTGTTAGATAAAATGAATTATTATTATTATTATTATTATTATTATTATTATTATTATTGTTAATTAAGTCATTAATTGTCAAGTAATTATTGTTATTATTATTATTATTATCCTTAGTTTTATTAAAATTATTCACATCAAACATATTATTCATAATTTTCATGTTATTTGTATATTGTGTTGAATTTAATTCCAATTGATCACGAATACACAAATTGATTGGTTCATTTTGTTCATCCATCATCAGTAATGAATTTTTTAAATTTCTTTCTATACTACTATTATCATTATAAGTAGATAATGTTGTCATGAAAGAATTATTTGTGATTGTTGTCGGTGTTGTTGTGGTTGGTGTTGTTGTTATTGTAGTCGGTGTTAAATTTGAATTGAAACATAATTGACTATCAGTTGATTCAGATAATGTTGAACATTTTGATAAACTATTCATCATCAGTGAATAATAATTTTGTATATTATTTTGATAAATTTGATGATAAGTTTCTTCAAATTTCTATTAAAAATTGAAATTTTAAAACAAAAAAATAATAAATGTATAAGAATAATAATCAAATAGTTTATATAAAAAAATATAAGTGTCAATTCAAACCCTACAGCCTAGATATTGAACTCTGAATAATTCAGTCTTTATGTACATGGTCCATTTGTCTCATGAACTGTTCAAATAATCAATACACATTTTGTTTCATTTAGTGAGCTAATTTGTAAGCTCAGATCAACAATTGATGTTATGAGGAATCATTCAAGTGAGGAATACTTCACTGATAAGGCTGCTTGATAATCATTTGAAATCAACATGATCGGACTATGGGATACTTATTACCCTGCAACTTATACATAGATGTGTAATACTATGATGAGACTTAAAACTACCTTTTAATTAGTGTTTTTTCCACATTTGAAATCATCAGTCAATCATTGTTACACCAACATAAGAAAATTGGACTCACTGAAAGACGGCCGTTTCGTCCTGGTATGGAACTCAGCAGTGAACATCCTCGAATCCTGAACCTCGCAGGATTCGAACTCACGACCTTCTTTCGTACTACCGAACTCATTACCTCTGGACCAATGGGCTGGTATCCAACGGTGTTAGCGTCTAACACTGATCAATCTAGAGATTTTGCACGACCTCATCCATTTGTCTTCGATAGTTACTGCCTAATGAAAATCTGGTACTGTCAAACTAAAACCTCAATTCAGTTCATCAACTGCTAACTTTGATCAGGTAGATCGGATAAGTAATATCTCTATTGTGTTAGTGAATTCGTTGTCATCAATAGATGAATATGTCTAATTGATTGAGTTCAATTCATCCATACTATTTTATTTGATCTTAAATTCTACATTGTACAAATGTTCAATTTCTATTAAAACAAATTCAATTAACTATTATGAAATTTATCATTCTTTATTTTTTTTCTGACAATTTAATTGAAGTTAACTGTTCATATATATTTCATGCATAATAAATATTTTAGCAAAATTAAATAGAATATATATATATATATATATAAACAAACAAAATTCATCCTTAATATTCAATGATCAATTTTAAACTATGATATTATTGAAACAGCTGAATTAATCATTAGAGCAAAAACAATAATTATTAAATATGGGAATAAAATTGACTATATATAAGTATATACGTAGTTGAGCCGAAAATACATTGATCTATAATGAATAATCCTATTTCGCTTGTCATATGCATTCAGTTCAAAAAAATAATCCTTGTGTTGCACAAGGATCAATGTTAGCAGCAATGATTATCAAAATGTAATTTTAGAGAACAATGTAGAAATCTATAATTCATTAGTTAGAAGTTGAATATTCTTCAACGACTAATCCGGTGTCAGTATTGCTATAACTATCTTTAAGATAATGATAATAACAGTTAAGTTTGTTTTTGAAACCATGAATCTATCAATGTTAGACCACCATTAGAAACCTTGACGCTTTGGACGGCCATTTCGTCCTTGTATGGGACTCCTCCTGTTCCGGTGTAGACAGTAACCACTGGCGAAGACTGTGTATGAGGTTGCGCAACTCCGTGAATTGATTGAAATTATACATTAACACCGTTAGATAACGGGTCAGTAGTCCGACGGTTAGGCGTTCGTCTACAATACTTAAGGTAATGGGTTCGAATCCTGCGGGGTGCAGCAGTCGTGGATGCGCACTGCTGAGGAGTCATATACCTGGACGATACAGCCGTCCATTGGTTCCAGGTTTCTAATGGTGGTCTAGCATTGATCGATTCATGGTTTCAAAAAATATGTAACTTAACAATCTTCACAACCCCGTAATGCAAATTATGTTTGTGTCGAAACTAAACAAAGATATATCCAGAAAGATTTTTCGAATATGATATAGATTATCACTAATAAACAATACCATCCAAGGACAATACTTCATTCAATATATACGTCTTACTAGACATGCAGTTCTTATCATTTACTTTGATGACATGAAAATTATTAATTATCAGTCATTGGTTTGTATATATATGTGCAGATATATAAAGACGTTTATATATACATACATATATATATTATCCCGAAAGTTTAAAAATAGAAAATTTAATTAAATTTTTTTTGTACATTATAAAAATGAAGATCATGTTGACTAGCAGTAGTAGTAGTAGTGGTAGTAGTAGAAGTAGTAGTTTTAGTCAAATCTATTTATACATTAATTTGCATAAATAATATTAATGAATTTTTTTCAATTTGCATATTATTAATTTATAGAAACCATTTTTCAACATTTGAAATACATACATACATACATAAGATCAATGATTTAAGAAGCATTTATGTATATAACCGTATCTTTCTATAGTCTAAAGCTGATTGATGTTCAATATTATTTTTAGATAGATTGTCATACTACTTAAATATTATTTAGTAGGTTTTAATATCTAACGAAAATAAATGTATTCGATTGTATTATTTCTTCATGGATAATAAGTATTTCTAAATATTATTCTTAACTTTTTGAGATATACAGCCTTGAAACAAACAAGCCAAACTGATAGTCATAAAACTAATCGATGAAAATTCACTAATATTACTTAAACTGTGAGAAAACAATATCACAAGTGATGATATTTAGTCATTTATTTTGAACTGAAGGCTTGTGAACTGTATCAATAAAAAAACAATTACAGAATACCGCATATAACTATACTTTTTAGCTGAGATCATAATTTTTAATCACATGCCACACAAAAGTTATAGCTATGTAGAGTTCGTCACTAGGTTTGCCTGAAGCTATTACGAGTTCACCTTAGTCGATAAACGCGAACGAGACAATTACCAGCGTCCAGATAGGCTACCTTGAATGTATATTCTACAAACACCCAGCAATCATAATGCAATCAAGCACACAACTCTCGTTTATTTATACATCATAGAAACGTCTTTGCGACAGTCACAAAAATAGCACACTAAAATACACAGCAGAAAATCACAGCCATGGCTTTTCCTGGTGTGAAATGTAATCTCATGGTCAACTTATCAGCCCATGCTCGCAAAAGTGAAATCCAAGATAAAGCACTTCTCAAGCGAGTTCTGGGGATCTAACATCTCGAAGAAGTTATATGAAGAAGAAACTACAATGTAGTAATAATCTATGAGTTACTGAATATATGTTTAGTGACTAGTATTTTTTAAACATAAATTATATTCATTTCGTCCTATTGTGGGATTATCAGTTGAATAAATTAGCACAGAGTATTGATACTTATGGTGGGACTTGGATTTTGAACCTTATGATTTAAATACCAACATTTTATCCATTAAGCTTAATTCAAATATCAAGCATTAATTTTGCTAATAATAACAACAATAATATGGTATAAAATCAGTGCTGATGAAAACAATAGATTTTAAAAATGAAAATCACAAATTCACACAAATTTAACCAATCCCTTATTTTCGAAAATAAAATCAATCGATATGGTCAAATATGTAAATAAGAAATTAAGTGAATTTTGCTTTAATAACTATTCAACTTCTCATTAAAAAAATTAATTTCCTGATGAAAAATAGTTTGTACTAAAAAGGATTTATAGATATATTTGTGAATTTTAATAAGAAACTGTAACTGATGAAATCTAGCCAATGAGTCAGTTATCACTGACACGTGATTGCGCAATATTGTGAATGATTCGAAGAAAAATTTCAAATCGTTAGAAGCTTATCTAGAAAGATCTACAATGTCAGTGACCATTTTAAGATATAAAATCCTAATCTTCTGGATTCTTCAACTTTTCTAGATTTGACTTTCTAAACTTTTCTCACTGAATCATACTTCATGAATAATATCTTTTAATCCTAACACCTCTCCGATTAATGCTAATAACTTTACTACCTCTTCTACTATTGGATTTGAATTGACATTTACATCTCTGTGTTGATGTGGTGTGGCGACATGAACTGATCGTTGACCAGACAACATCATCAGCAACAACGTACTGTAGGAGAGAACAAACCAGATTTGAGTGGAGGAGGAAATCAGGAAGAAGCGGTGGAAGTGGATAGGACACACACTACGAAAAGTACCGAACTGCGTCACAAGTCAAGCCCTCACATGGAACCCTCAGTGCAAAAGGAAAAGAGGAAGGCCAAGGAACACATTACCCCGAGAAACAGAGAAAAATATGAGAGGAATGAAGAAATATTGGACAGAACTTGAAAGGGAAGCCCAGCACAGAGTTTGTTGGAGGAAACTGGTGGGCGGCTTATGCTCCATTTGGGGGTAACAGGCATAAGAAGGTAAATGAGGGTGTGTATGTGTGTGTTCGAGTACGTTTATCAGTGTTTGTAATGACATCAGAAGAATTGATGAATAATCACATTTTTAATAATTACACCATGATTAGTTAAATGTCATAAATTTTTTGACATCAAACAAATAAAAACATAACCTCATCACTGATTAATACTCACTGTATAAGAAAGTTTAGACAATTAGTATGTTTTTTTATATGTACTGATTGAAAAAAAAATTGCTTAGAATAATCAGTAGCATAAACAATAAAATATACAGACTCATAGACAATATTTTTTTGTTACGTAATAGAATATATGACATTAGCATCAAGTCGAATCAAAAAAGGAATTGTGTTGATTTAATCACCTAGGCGATAAATATTAATTGTCTAAGAAGATGATCAGCATAGAAGTCGATCAACATTAATTTAGTGATTAACATCTAAAAACTGATTTAATTTAAACAATCATTGAAAACTTCAGAAGTACACATCCACAACTTCAAAGCTTAAACTGACATTCCGGTCTTTTGTGTGAAAGCTTAAACTCTTGACCATTGAATTGAAATCCAAGACTTGATAGTTTTCTTCCATTTATTAGATTATTCCAATGTGGTTGTCGATTTGTGATCTCAATTTATCAAACTCAAAATAGATCAGTTTTTAATATCATGTAAAAAGTTTCAATGTTCAATATCAATAATAATTCAGTCAGTCAGTTGCAACGTAGAACTACCTACGTCTGTACATAAGTTCAAGTTGCCATACCACATTAACACAGAGACACAAATGTCAAATCAAATCCCATAGTGATAAATATAGTAGAGGTATTAATGGTAATGAAGAAGACTAGCGTTTGAAGATATTAATCAACGAAGTATAATTCAGTGAGATAAGGTTAGAAAGACAAAGGTAGAGGTGCTGACGAATCCAGAAGATTAGGATTTGAGAGAACACAAAGAATAAATGCACCTGCGCCATTGTAAACGATTCTGAGCCATGACGTTCAATTTCTCTAACCATTGGTGACTTTCGTTTCGCGGACCCCAACCAGGTAGCCTACGTGTACCAACACGACTCAGTCCAATCGTCAATGATCTCATGTATTTCTGCCATGTTTTGGTTTGGCCGCCCCTAGATTTCTTCCAACCTACTCCTACACCACAAAACTTAGCTCGTCGAGGATCAATAATAATTCTCTGAGTCCGATAAATAGAAAGAAAGCTGATTCTAGCTCAAGAAGTAATTACTGGAAAAAGCACTGGGTTTATTTAGGACACGAATTGAGGAATTCAATTATCTGAATCATGAGGCAAGCCCTTAATTGGAATCCTGAAGGTCAACGGAAAAGTAGATGACAAAAAAAAGAAATTCGAGACAGATATGAATAGAATGAATAGCAATTTAATTAGAACTGTAAAGGAAGGAAGGCTTAGGACAGAGTAGATTTGATAATCGGCTAATCGGCATCCTATGCTCTGTTAGAGGCATAACAGATGCAATTAAACTAAATACCTTATATCTAATCAAAAGAGTGGACAATTGTTTTTATCAACGAAATTGAAATATTTATTCATCGATGATTATTGAATATTAATAATTCTTCAAATAATTATCGATTTACCTTGATTTAGCCTGATATTAAAATGAAATTTATAACAAAGAAATTAAATCTACTAAAGGTTTATAATCATTTTTACAAAATAAGTTAATGATAATTCAAACTCATTAGTTCATTGGATAACTAACAGATTGTATAACTGATATGATTAGTGCTTAGTTTATGCTACATCAGTGTAAACTTTAATACATGTTATATATATATATATGTATATATGACCAATTCTACATAAGTTGATGATAAACATCCTGATATTTTAAAACCCAGATAAATTCAAATTATATTATACCAAATAAATATTGAATAATGAAGATCAGTGTTTAAAACAATCATTTTAAAAATTATAAGTATAATAACGAAAAGTAGTAAAGATAATTATTACTTCAAATATTCCTTGAGTGTAATCGAAAGTTGTACTAAAAGTTTGTGCTAGTCACAGATTAATCTCCGTTGCACAACCATGAGAAATCAAAAAAAATACTAATCACATTCTTCTCTACAGTATATCCGTATCATAAGACAACATTATAAGCAATGCTGTCGTTAGGAAACGAGTTCTAGGTAGAGATGGCAAATCAATAGATGAATTAGTGGAACTTGATCAGTTGAGGTGGTCGGAACATGTGTTACGCATGGCTAACCACCGACTGCCGCGACGAGTTATGTTTTGCAGTGTAGGAGTAGATTGGAAGAAAGATAGTGGCGGCCAAACCAAAACATGGCGTAAATCCATAAAGTCACTGACAAATGTACTGAATGATGTTGGTAGATGTGGGCTTCCTGGTTGGGGTCCGCGACACGAAAGTCAACAATGGTTAGAATCCTTGAACGACATGACTCAGAATCGTTTTCAATGGCGCAGGTGCATCCACTGATTGTGTTCTATGAAATTCTAAACTTCTGCATTCCTCATTATCTCTACCTTTCTCCTTCTAAATTTATCTTACTGAATTATACTTCTCGAATCATATCTTCGCTTCCTAATCTTCTCCATTACTGCTAATACTTCTACTATCACTATCACTCTTTGATTTGAATTGACAGATGCGTCCCTGTGCTGATGTGGTATGGCAACCTGAACTGATGTACGTACGTACGAAGTTCTGTCTATCTACAGTGTATCCCGACACCGATTCTAATATTAATTGAAACCGAACAATTTCGAGTTTCTTACACAATACTTAGCCAATTAAACCATTAGGTATATACCGTAACTTATATACATAAAAAGTGATTAAATACACTATTAATTAGCACATTGGTTCAGTTATCAATAGTATCGAATAATTCAATACAATGAAATAGGAACTTTTAATAAGAGTTATGGAGATTAGTGTTTTTTTTACACATTTGAAAGCGTCAATCAATCAATGTTAGACCACACCATTATAAGCCTAAAAACAGCCGTTTTGTCTTGATATGCCACTCAGCTGCTGTGTGTATCCATGACTCCAGCAATCACAGGATTCGAACTGTAGTTCTGCATTTTGACTATTCATAAAAACCAATGAACATTGTACACTTCCATTAGATTCATACAAAACTTGGGCAACCATAATCTTATTATATATATATATATATATATATATATATATATATAGAATTGAACTTATACACGTAACACGTAACTTATACAAGTAACAGGGCAAATAATTAAATTTTAGAAAGAAACTAAGAAACCGTTCAATAATTCGTAGAATTTCGAAATTAATCAAGATCTAAATGTTACTACTATGTTAAATTTAATTGTTATTTATAAATAAGTTGAAATCGTATCTTATGAACTGTATCCTATTAAGAAAGCATTTTCAAAATATTGATTATTTAATGGTTTTTTTTAATGTTACAGATGTACTAAATTCAGTTAAATCATGAATTGATCATTGATATAAAAACCATTAGGAATCTGGGAGCATCGGATGATCGTTTCGTCTTAGCATGGGACTGATTAACAATAAGCATCGAACGCAGGACTTACGATATCACATGTGAACGCTTCGCTTTGAGACGACTGAACCTGCATTCATCAATGTTAAAGTCTAACTTTAATCAATCCAATCTATTGTACAACCTCACCCACTGTCTTCAGTGGATAACTGCCCTTTCCCCATACTAGGACGAAACGGCCATTCAGGTTCTAAATGGTGGTCGATCAATGATCAACTGATGATTTCAATGACAACTAAGTTTTGTTTTTACTACATGTAATCTGATAAAACTACTAGTTTAATGAAATTAACTGAATAAAACTGAAAAATTGCTTTATAACGGTAGCGTAGTTATGATTATAACTTTGTCAAAAACAGATATGAATGATTCGATAAGATTAAATTATAGTTACTTCCAAAAAATATTTATATTAAATTCCTAAACAGTAAAAATTCCATAACAAAAGGTTTTTTAAGGTTTTATTTAATGAAAATAGAACATTTTAACAACACATTCACTGATAGTGTGTGTGCTGAAATATGGTTTACGGGGTTATGAAAACTGTCTACATATCAACTATACTAATCTCTAGATTTCGTCTATCTTCAATGGTCAGATAAAGTAATTAGAATCTTTGACACTAAATAAATACGACGTTGAACACTACTAACTGACTTATCCTTCAAGAAGTCAGTTGTTGTCTGAATAGCTGGATAGTTACGTTACAAGATGTGAAGTTGTGTAATCTGTGTTCAAATACCCAAGAAGCCATAATCGCCTAATGATTACATGGTTGATCATTTCGTTGAGTGTCAACTACCTACCACAAAACCCATATTCAATAATTTCTACAGACCACCTTGAAACAACTAAGATTTTTTTTTAAAAATCTATGCTATATCGAGTCAATTAAACTAATGTTCGCATGTTTAGAATGAATTAGTTAAGCTCTGTGAACTAATGGAATATTGGCCACACAACTCAATGACCGGTAAATTCTAGATACTGTAAGTCAGGTATTAGAAACATCAACTGGCATTTTCTTTTTAAAAAAATGAGTGACCTAAAGTCGAGTACTTACTGAATGAATCAGATACTGCATTTTGTATATGTATCAGAGAAAATTTTCAGTTCAGCTAGGTGAGTGACAATTGATGTAAGTCCCCTAAGGCTCAATAGAAATATTCATTTACACATTTTGAAACCATGAATCGATCAATGTTAAACCACCATTAGATACCTGGAAGCACTCAAAAGACGGTCTTTTCGTCCTAGTATGGGACTCATCATCAATGCGCATTCACAACTACGGCGCCCCGCATTATTCGAACCTAGGAACCTCGGTTTAGTCCGTGAACGCCTAACATCTGCACTGCTGAGCCGTTATCTAACAGAGTTAATGTCTAACTTGTTCAATTCATTTGACTAAATAAAATAATTGAAAATGTAAAAAACCTATTCGAATCAATATGTATACAATAATAAGCTAAAAACATCCGTGGATACTATAGAGTCGCCTTAATATGACCGGCCACTGAAATCAATATTCAAGACAATATAGCCTAAATCCGTAAGTTCGTTAAGTTTTAAGAAAAATACTGCCTTCTATTCTCAAATACACAAAAATGAAATTTTATCAAAGATATACTCACTTGATCCGATAATCCTGTACAAAAGAAAGATGGGACTCCAAGGAAATCCATATCATTGAACAAAAATTTATCCCTCAATTTGTATGCGTGAAAGTTTCATTTTGAATTTATTTTTATATTGCAGATTCTGTGTGACAACACACACGTACATATTCGAGAACATTAAGAACTCACCTGTTGGTCACAGAGTGTGAGTGTGCGTGTGTGTGGTGTACATAAACATAATCAATTATAATCAAAGTAAAACTTATATTTAACATTAATATTTTAATCCAACTCGCGCACCCCCCACCACCACCACCAACCCCTCTATTTTCATTTTTATAAACAGGCTGTTAAAATTCATAATTTTGTGAGCAGCAATCATTTTCTTTCATTCGCATATTCTTTAGTCCATTTCCACATAGAGTAAATTAAAAACTATGACAGGGTGGGGTAGAAAGAAAACATTCATCACCATTTCATATACACACAAACCAATCAGCTGTTGATTTAATTTAAGAATCAGAAAAACTCTTCATTGAATTAACCAATCAGAAATGAGAATCGCATAAATTTAGCGTAACATACCAACAAGCCTGTTTTTAACGATGTACACATGTTGATATTTTTCAGAATAATGTAAATTTTTTCATACTGACAAGTTGTATTAGATAATAATAATGAAATGAATCCGGTTGATTGAAATCATACATTCGTTGTGTGAATTTCATCAACAAATAGACTGGTAATTGTGTATCAATCAATGACGGCTGTTTCTGTATTTTTGACAGGTCAGCTGCAATGAAACAGATAGTATTTGGCGCGTAATATCTATAATGGAATTTATATTCTGTAGTTGAAATGAAAATATGCTTAATAAATTTGTATTTAAAACGCATTCAAACATTATAAATCAGGCTTTGGATTTTCAAAGGAATTCTCATTGTACCTTGATGTTACTTATGGAAACTTATTGGAAATCGCGGTCCTGCGGTATTGATTCGTTCAGTCCTAAAGGATAATTTACGTCACCTTATTTAAACTAGTTATTTTTTTTACAAATGATCTCAATATCTTGATGAAACTAATCTATTAACTCAACCGAATGTCAGAAAAAAGCAACTCACACATAAATTCTAATTAAATTCAATGGTAATAAACGAAATGAGCTGACTAATCTTCTAGAAAGGAATCATTATTTAAACTAAAACGGAAGTAGTCAACCGTCAGGTAAAGGTTCTCGTTGGCCTATTGGACTAGAGTACCATTTTCCTAAGCGGAACTTGACGACTCGAACCACTTCCAATAAATCAAGATTAATGAATTATTTTCGGTCAGAGCTTTGGAGGTTTGTGTTTTTACACATTTGAAATCATCAATCAATCATTATTAGATCACCATTAGAAACCTGAAAGCACTGGACGACCGTTTCGTCCTGTTATGGGTCTTATCACGACTCCTGCACGTCGCAGGTTTCAAACCCAAGACCTTCGGTATTGTGCGCGAACGCCTAACCATCGGACCACTGAGCCGGCCGGCATCCAACGGTGTTAATGTCTGACTCTGATTGATCTACGGATTTTTTCGCGACCTCACCAATTTGTCTTTGGTAGTTATGCCAGGCTGACACCACATGTCATTCATCTTTTCAATTATTTACTTACGAACTGAATCGTGTTTGTAATTGATGAGTACCTGGTTAGGGTCTACAAGATTATCGCCACAATGGTTGGAAACATGGATAGAACGAAATCAATGTCAGCTTTTGCTGTGTGGATAATTTTTAAAATAATTAGGTAATAATTGTATCACTTTTTAAAAAAAATAGCTTCAAACAGCTTCACATGGGATTTCAATAATGTTGTACTGATCATATATAAGAAGGAATAGCTGTTCCTAGCTTTTACATTTGAGACCGTAACACTTTGAATATTATATTCACAATAATTAAGAATATTCTATAGTTCAAATTATCTGTTGATCAGGAAGATATACATTAAAAGTACAGTTGTAAATTTTTAATAAATTTAAGTAACTCTCTCAAGTTAAACAACCCCTGAGAACCTGAAAGTAGTACAACGCAGTCTCAACTTACTATTCGACTACTGGTCAGTGTAAACCCTTCATGTCCGAGTCAATAGACGAAACTAGGATCTTCAAGCCTATCCTCCAGACTTCTAAGCAGGAAGATGTTTACGCAAACAAATGGACCGATTGAAACGAGACATGGACGTTTTTTGTCCCCAATTCAGTAGTTCGTAGCTTAAGATTTCGTGCACAAGACCAAATATTCTCGGTTTATTGCCCAAGTATGGGTCCGCAGATGTGCATTTCTTAGAAATCTCACACCAGAACAAAACGACTATCCAGTGATTTCTGGTATTCAGTGGCTTTACAAAAAGATATGTAAATCGGTTCATGATTTCAATGACATTGAAAAACTGAAAACAAAATTGAAATAACAATTGAAATTCGATTGTCAATTCAGTTGTTGTTTTTTTCAATTCTTACGTTTATTATTCTACTGGAAAATAAGTTTTTCAAAACTTTATTTCATATCTTTCTTACTTACTTACGCCTGTTACCCCCAATTGAGCATAGGCCGCCCACCAGTTTTCTCCAACCAACTCTGTCCTGGGCTTTCTTTTCCAGTTCTGTACAATGTTTTTTCATTCCTCTCATATCTTTTTCTATTTCTCGCGGAGTGTGTTCCTTGGCCTTTCTCTTTTCATTTTGCCTTGAGGGTTCCAAGTGATGGCTTGTTTTGTGGCGCCAAAACAGAAAAATGAATTACTTTACGACAAACCATAACCCAAAATTTTAACACTTCATTTAATAGTTAAGTTAATTATTAACTAAAATTGAATCCATCACACGGATGTATTCCTGGTTTCACCGATGATCGAATTAAGTATCAGCTAACGGTGTAAATTATTGTTTTTTTCTGGTTAGCGTTTTTTTTAGCAAATTAGTTTCTGACGGGATGGGATCGCCAAACCCATGCCCAACCCTCCTCCTTTATCCGGTCTTGGGACCGGCAGTAGCTCCGAAGGTTCTACTGGCAGAGTTATTATTAGTATTCTTTCATATTGACAACCTCTCCTTAAGACTATTTATTAACAAATCCTAATCTTCAGTAAAGTCATGATTGTACACTGCTTACACTTCTCATCCTGAGGACAAAACAAATATCGACCAGTTTTTATCGATTATCTAACTAAAGTCAGTCAATAAATAATATACAACATTCATATTCAAATCATCAATCTTACATGCTTATATTCCTTTTGCGTTTTGGTTAACTAACAAGCCTGTCATTTTTAACACAACTTAATTTTCAACTATAATTATTAAAAATACAGATGTGATAGAATTTATTAGCAGGGATTTTTTAACAACCAATTAAAAACTCTCTGAAAACGGTATGCAGACTATGTGAGGTCAAGTTTGAAATTGTTGTCACAATGAATATCCAACCATTTCAAATATCAGTGATGGCTAAATTGTGCCAGTCAATCCAATGATAAATCATGTCAATAGTTTTAAGCTAATGGTTTTAATGATTGCGTTACATATCCAACGATGCTGATGTATAAAACTTTGAAAATACCTGTCAGTTACAAAAATCATGTAGATAGGAAAATTTAAAACTGAATTATGTAACGTAACGACTGACAACGTTGATTACGCCAAAAAAACTTTCATTTATTAACTCCCTAAATAAAGTTATTAAAACTTATGAAATAAAGCAACAGTTAGGATGGTAGATAAACACTACCTGACCAGTTGTGTTTAAACGATAAGAAACATTCAATGATATAACTCAATCAAATTGGTACAGACAACTTGGCTGTTTATTTTACTTCATATGTGTTTGGGATTTTAGATCCCCATAACCTACTTGATAAGTACCTTATCTGGGATTTCTCGTTTGCGAGCGTTAACTGATCAGCTGATTTGATATTTCATTTCACACTAGGAAAATCCATCGTTGTGAATGGCTGCTGTGTATTTTAGTGTGCTATTTTTGTGACAGTCCCTAGGATGTTTCTATGATGTATAAATAAACGAGAGTTGTGTGCTTGATTGTATTGTGATTGCTGAGTGTTGTAGAATATACTTTCTACGCCATATCAAGACTTCTCTTTAGTCGTTTCGGAACCTGAACCCTGGTTCATTGTCTCGTTCGCGTTTATCGACTAAGGTGAACCCGTAATAGCTTCCAGTATTTCTTCACATATTCCTTTTTAGTAATTCTCTTTTAATCATATTCTCATTACTTAGTCTTTCGGATTAGCCTAGTTAATGCCAATCAGAAATTTTTGTCTTCTTGTTGACTGCTGAACGTTAAACTAGTGTAATCCGGTAGTAATCCACTTGTTAAGATCTAAACTGATTTTCCCTGACCAACTTACATCCTGATAATTATTTACACCCTACTCTTCGTTAGCTTACTCAATGATAACAAATTTGAATATGAATTCTTTAAATCTTGAATGCACTACGCATGACAACTTGTTGCCTTTTTGAAAAATCAATATTACGCCCGGCCTAAACACCGAAACACAACTTTAAGCTTGAATAACAATTCACATTTCCAAAATTAAAAAAGGTTCTATTCCAATAAAATAATGCAAAACACACACATACACACATATACTCAGACGAACAAACAAATTGACGAATTCAATCTATATTTCTTTTTTAAAATAACAAAAACCTGATTACAAATCATCCAGTGAGTATTCATCACTTTGAGCTTTTTTTTTCTTTTAATTATTTAATTAATTGACCACGCAGCCGAGCCATGTTTATACGCTTTGGTTACAATCAATTAAGAGAATTTATTACTAATATTATTATTACGTCTGTTTAACTGCTCACATTCGCTACCATCACCATTGATGAGTGTCATTTATAGTTTAGTATAAAAAAAGATTGTAAATATTCATATAACTGATACAAATTACATAATGATAATTTGATTTATTTCAGCTAATGTGTGTATGTGTGTGTCTTTCGACATGTACGTTATATGTATGATGTGTGTGTGTTTGTCTGCTAGCATT